TAATCCACACTATTGAAAAAAAAAAAAAGAAAGAAAGAAAAGAAAATTAACAAGTTATATTTATTGTCTCTAAAATTTCTATTACTCTAAAAATATCTTTGATTTAGCTTTTTTACCTCATGCTACTTGAAATGAGCCTTATAATTGATTTGAAGCTCAGATGTTTGTTTGGCTAGCTACTTTGACATAATCCATGGTTTATAAAAATTTAATGCAATATTATACGGAAAGGCTGTACAATCAAAAAATCTCAGTGAAAAAAACTTTTAAGTGTTTGAAGAAATTACCAAAACCACATTAATTTTTATCAGTAGGTATCTATTCTATGGCATTTATCTTTTTTAAATGAACATATAACTTATTAGTCTATGCTAAGACAAAACAAAAGTGATTTGCAGATTCTTTGAGTCCTTTTACTTAAAAATTTAAAATAATTTTCTTATTAATTTATTTATCAAAAATATTTGTGCATATACTAAAATTTACATAGAGAATAAAACTATGACTTTGCAAATGTATATATATATATATCATAATTTATTCAAAGATAAACAATACTTCCATATCATTTTGGTTAATTTTTACAAATTTTACTTCAGAAACTAGAGACCATATTACTGACTTACAATTGTAGATGAGGCTTCTTTGCAGCAGTGAATTTAAGAACATACAAAAAGGCAAAGAGATTGAAGTTGTGAATTGAATTGTTAAGAAAAAGATAAGTAAATTCACCTGAATCCTAAATCCAATCACCTTTGAAAAACTCATATTGCCTATTCACTTCTTGGATGAATTGCAAACATTTTCCTTTTACGAACAGCATAATAATTGCTTCTGTAGCTATAAATGTAAAAAAAAGTTCATATTTCTTTATTTTTCTGAAAAAATCAAAGTAGATATTTTATTTTTAGCTCAATTATATCTGTGCTATAGGTTTGTCTAAACTGATCAGCAACTATCAAATCTATATAATTTTATAAATGTGATGAAAGAATAATTGTGACAAGTTAGTATAATACTTGTGATAAATGTCAAGCTATACTTTCACAATTTAAGAAGAAAAAAGTGCAGACAATATTGTTACTTATTCCCCTCTTTCTTTAACTTAGAATCATTAATTGGCAGCATGTATATTTATCTTTTAGAAAAATGCTAACATCTGAAAATACATGGATAATAACTATTTATATTATGAAATATTATCATGTGTGCAATAGTGTAGATATATATGTGGTACCAATATACAGATATAGCATGTAGTATTGTTATGTTACTATTAAATGAATTACCTTTGGAATTAATGGCCAATGACTGAGATAATTGAATTCTGTGTTGTTTCCCTTAAAGTTGGAATAAAAATTTAGCCTATAAAACTACACAAAATGATTAACAACTGTGTAACATAAAATAAAATAATGTTTAGTCATTTTATGACCCCACAAATTAAGCCATCCTTTTAAAACTTCTAACACCACCCCCATCTTTGATTCAGTAATATAGTCAAGAGGTCATAGCAACAGTGAATCCTTGTTGTTTTACTGGGCCTGACAAATGTTTTGTTATGTTAATTGTCTACTCTGAGCTTGGCAGCTCATARGAAATATATCAGTCATTAATTGCTACTTCTTGAAACTCAAAACTCTTACATATCAACATTGTATATCAGTCATACTTGCGATTATGTTTTTTCTTCTGGTGTTTAATTTTCATAAATTCCTTCTGATAAATGTCCAGATTCATCTAAAATGCTTCCCTGGCTTTTAAAAAACCTACTACTGTTAAGTTAAAAATGAAAATGAAGAAGTTGGGTGCATCCAGGGACAGGAGGGTGAAAGAAAGTAGATAGTTTACACTGCCAACTGCTCAGTATTTAGCTGCTTTAAAAGCACTACTTCAGTGCTATGATCATCGAGGCCATTAGGGACATTTCACTTTTACCAGCCAAATGGAAAATAGTGTCATTTGTGAAATGTGGAAGCTATACAGCAAGAGTGTTAAAGAAGGTAATTTTATATATAACACTTAAACACAATCAAGTTATGGGGAAGTAGTATGGATTATGTTTTACACGCATTTTTTAAGATCAGTATGATTTTACAGAAGCAATTAGAAGGTTATTACTACTAAAAATCCGAAAGTCAATTTATGATACTCATGTTGGATTTATTTTCAGATTAGTGTTTGGGTAATAYATTTAGTTTTAATATTGTTATGTCTCCAAAATTTAATGAATAATGACAGAATTAAATTTATAAGCCAACAAATGTACTAATGTGAAAAACTAACACAAAAATAGCCTTTAGGAGTCTAGACAAACAACTTCATTGAGAGTAATTTAGTAGTTAGAGATAAATCTTTTCAGTAACTGCATCATCTTGTTTTGTTAATATTTTAGGCTGTTTTTCCTATTATATTGAGTACAAAATTTCCTGTGCCAACAGTGGCTATTTATGTGGGGGGAACTGAATTCATACATGTGCATTTTTWAAAAAATCAAGGAAATTAATTTATTTTAAATACATTCAGTGCATTTGTGTATTCACATAGAATTTAAATGCTAATATGAAAGGTCAATGGCAATGTGGCAATTATGTGAGCATTATTTGAATGAAATTTGATGATGTCATTCTTGTTTTCCAACCTTTTTTATTAGATGGGTAGGAATAAAATCATAATAAACATTGTAGAAAAGTAAACATTATGTGGATGCACATAATAGATGCTTGCAAGTCAGAATTTTTAGCAGGCAAACATACAGCCCTAATAAACTAATAGAGGCTCCTTAGAGCCAAAAAAGCCATTTTTAAAGTAATGTGCTGGCTGAACTGGCAAGAGCCCATTTGTGTGCTCTACAAAATAGTGGTGCCCCTAGAGGAGCTGAGTTACATTAGACTCTAATGACTGTGACTATTTCATTTAAAGACTTCCAAAGGTTATGATAGGAAGATATTTATGTTCTGGAAGGCTCCAAGTAGAAAGTAAAATTTAGGTAGATACAACAATGCTCTTATTTAATATAAACATAAAGCATCTGGATTGAATCCTGAGAAGCCTTTAGGTAAAATGTTCTCATTATGATAATCAAACCCAACAGCATGTTTTCAATTCAGCAGTCTACTGCTTTGTTTTTCCAAAATTTAAAATGAATTCAAGGTCTAGTTGCAACTGAGGTGAATCTCATCTTCATGACAGGGGAAAAAATATCTGTACCAATAAGGTTCCAATTTTATKTAGGAAACATTAGCTCTTATTGCTTTCCTAAGTTTCCCCAAAGTCAAAATACATCAGTCATGAGGTACTATATTATATTGCTAGAAAACAAGGAAGCCAAGCAAACAAAAGCCACATGATCTTGGCRATTTTCTATAATTATATTTTGTCCTGCATTTGTGGATCCTGGTAAACCGCAAGGATATATTTAGGGGATTGGGATTCTCACCATACTTGATCAGCATCCCAGAATGAATGATGAGATTTATCTTACATGCTCAAATGTCATTGGTCAAAGTAAACCAAATGACCACAGTGACTTTAAAGTGTGCTAGTAATGTCAGCTTGTCTTGTGTTCAGAAGAAGAGACACTGAATATTTATATTTATATCTAATATCTTCTGTGTTGTGGTACCTAGCTTCCCAGAGATTTTTTTTTCTTAATGTGTTCTTGTAACCACTTCTCATGATTATTTCAATACCTCTCATCAGAGTTTCCACCAAAAAAAGGTTATAACAGTGATTCTGTATCACTATATTACAAAAGAAATACATTAAATAGAAATGAGAAACCTCTTACATCTCAATTCAACATTTATTTTCTCTATACAAACTGAACATGTTGAATATACACTGTGGAAAGTGTCATGTTTTACTTKATTCCTTATAGGAAAATATGGGGGGAAACTGGGAAAATTTCCAATAAAGATCTGGAAATTAACACTTTCCTATAATTATTAACATTACTGGGGATTTATTTACTTACAACTTAGTTATTTTGTTAAGTGGGCAATGTCTCCAGAGTTGGCTCTTTCCTTTGGGTTGCTGCATGACAGAGAAAATAAATTGATCATATGGTGTGGAAAAGTTTTTATGTATGTGAAATGATAGAAGTTGAAACTATAAATGTAGCAGAGTTTAGCAGACTGAGGTAATCAAAATCACCTGATAACTACAGAAAGCTCCCTGAAAGGTTGTCCACAGTCAGAGGCCCCTCATATTTAAGGTGTATGCATCGGCAGATGAAAATGCACCCAAATTAAGTTAGGTGAGGTACATTTTTATGAGAAAATAGTCATGAATTATTTAATCTGATTTAAATATCACACATTGTACACATGAATCTGAATGTCCCATAGTTCTCCATAAGTATACAAAATTTTTCTTTTTATGGATCAGATAAAATCGATTTAATTTAAAAAAGAAAGCCTCAGACCCCAAAAGTTAAATAATTATGCTAAAGTATGAATGAATAATAATTAGAAGACCTCAAAATATTTTTTTGTGTAAAAAGGCAAGCGTCCAGCATTTTGTTTAGCATGATCTCTCTGTGCAGTTCATGACCATGACTTCATAATAAAATGAATGGAGAAAGAATCATTTGGATGATGAGTATAAGTTTGTTTTTTGTTTGTTTTTCATAGAACATGATTACCTTAATTTTTTCTTTTCTTTTTCATGCTTTTTCTTTGGGGGGTGGTAAAATCCATATTTATATTCTATGCATAACAAAATCATTTTTATGGCTACATTTCTATTTGGGAAAAGTATGTTAGTGGAAGCTGTTCACTTTAARTGGTTTGTTTTTCCTACACATACTTGGGTTTGAGCATTCATTCCAGTTACATAAATTATAAATATTGTTTCTCCTACTCAGAGACTGTGACATATCATTACAAGCTAAAGCCATTGTAATCGAGTGACCTTAGCTAAACTACCAAGTGAACTTTTCAAATGAGAGCATTCAGATAGATTATGCATTTATGAATAAAAATAAATTTGCTTTTCAGGGAGTTTGGCCGCTGGAAAGTAAATAATCTTGCAGTTGAAAGAAGAAATTTCCTTGGCTCCCCTCTGCCTCTTGCCCCTGAATTCTTCCGCAACATAAGACTTTTGGGACGGCGACCTACCCTTCAGCAAATCACAGAAAACCTTATCAAGAAATATGGAACTCATTTCTTGCTATCTGCTACTCTGGGAGGTACGATTCTTTGAAAATATTTGTGCCTGTGTGTGCTTGTTCATAAAACTATATAATCAGTTAAAAGTGCGAATTAATCCAGATAGCTGAAGTTTGAGTAATTGTATAATATATCCATTCATTTATCCCTCACATTGAGTGTGTTAAATGCCATTACAGTATTCATGTTCACAACATAGATGAATATCACTTACTCTATCCAAAAAGCTATTAAAAACCTAATATACATTAAATACAGGCATAGTGACTAYATTCTGTGATACAAATGTTATGGCAAATTTTGTTTAAAAAATGTCACTGGTAGGAGTCATTGCTTCTAGAGAGCAGGAAGTGTTTACTAGAGGTAAATAGTAAAGATCTACAATTAGATTCTTTCAATTATTGTATTATTTCTGGTTGTGTTTAACATATGATATAATAAAAGAGAAATAAATGCCAAGAAGTATGATGCATAATGTGAAAAATAGAGATTAATAATTTCACTTATTCCCAATTTGTAAATTTTTTAAAAATTAAGAAAGTCTTAATTTAATATTGCTAAGTATAGAATTATCACAGTGATATATTATTCAGCACTTTGGAGACACTAAAATGATATTTGGGAGGTATTGTGTAATAAGTGAATTATGACATTTTCCTAAGATTTAAAAATATCCCATATTTCTATATGTGCAATTTTGTATATGACTTGAAATAATATCTACATATTCCATGGTTCCTAAAATGAGTAATTTCTATATTTCCTATAATGAAGAACACCAAATAAAGCTGGATAGGAAAGTTCTGGAAATAAAAAGTCCTGTTTCCTTTTCAGTTGCTTGATAACTTTAATAGAAGACTGGTGAGCTCATTCATGCAATTTTTCAATGTTGTGAAAGATTCTTCCTTAAAGTCATTTCTTTCCCTTCCCTGCCTTTCAAATCTGTATGAAGTCATCCGTTTATAACCTCAGAATGTTTCCTGGGTCTTACTCTTTCCTGGTTCTCAACAGACCAAGTCACTATTACTTTTTCTCATACAATATTTCTATGGTTTGTTCTCCACCCAGAACTTTTTAAAACCTGAGTGTGGTCATTTTCCTTGCTCTATCTAAAACCAGGAACTGCCCACTRTAAATGAAACCTAAATATCTTGCTCTGATTTATGAGGGCCCTACTTTGTGACCTAGAGCGAGGTTTCATCTGAGCCCCCTCAACTGTCTCTTCCTCATACTCGATTTTTTTTTTAATCACAATGGGCTTCACATATTTTAACCAAGTCTTACTTTCTCAGAGAATACCTTTATTCTCTGCTCTTTCATGATCTTACTTTTCTTTCTTCAAAGTATTTATTGTTATGTAAAAGTATTTTACCGGTTTATAATCTCTTTCTTGCATATTTTGGTGGAAACCGTTCCCTTGTCTGTATTTGTCATGCCTTCACACAGTATCTGTAATGGTGCTTGGTATACAGTAGGTTTTTCTAACTATTTGTTTAATGAGTAAATAGTGGAACTATGCTTTTCTAAGGGACCAAAGTTGCCCAGTTTCCTAGATAAATATAAAAGTTTCAAATATTTAATGAGGGTAATTGAATACAGGAAGAATACTGAAAGAAGGAAGSAAACCCAGCAAGTGAAATGGTTCAGTTTCACAAATATTTAGAATTGGAGAGAATGAGAACCCAGGCACGGGCAGATGAAGAGAGCAAGGACAGGTTAGAGAAGGAGTAGATCCTCCTCACATTTTGAAAATATTTGACTGTGGCATAACCTTGAGGATTTAAAGGGGAAGTGGTAGGTTGTGGGCAGAAAGAAAAGGCTGCTCTGTCCTTTGTTATTTCTCCATTCCATTCTCTCACTAATGAATTATAATAAAATAATAAAACAAAGATATCAAACCTGAGGTTGAATCCTTATCTACACCCTCCCCCCAACAAGCAGCCCAATTTTAACCAGTTGAGTCTTTAAAAACCATTAACTTCTCTGAATTTTAGAAAGCTAGAAAGTAGCACCTATGTGATAAAAATATGAAAAAATAGTGTAAATATATGGAAATATCTTGAACACAATGTTTGGCATACTTGAAACATAGTGCATTTACATTTTTGTTATGAAAGTAATGTAGGTAGACAAAAATGTATAAATACTTTCAATAATTGTGGAATTCTATAAAGAGTTGAGAGATTTTGAAATAATATTAGTCTTCATTATTTTTATTATTACTGCAATACTGTTGTATGGAAAAGCACCTAAAAGAATTTTATAACCTAAAGTTCATTTTCTGAAAGAAAAAGAGAGAAAGGAAAAATAGGAGAGAAAGACCAAAAGGTACATATGGCTCTCATGGACAATTCCGTTCCTGAATATCAAAATTTTGTTTAATTTTATTTATTTTTACTTATTCTGTTATTTTGGTATTGTGAATGCCATGCTTTGGCTTTTATGTTAGTTTTTGTTTTGTAATTTTTAAAATAAAATATGTTTCAAGACCTTATGGGATTAAGTCACTTTTTCACTTTGACTGTTCCAATGATGGCAAACAGCTTGCACATGACATCATTTTAAATATAGAAAATCTCAGATGCCACTAAAAATGTCCAAAATAGTGAAAAATACAGCAAAGTTTCAGGATACAAATTCAACATAGAAACATAATGTTACGTATTCAGATAACAGCAGTTTATCTGAATAAGAAATCAAGAGAGCAGTCCCACTTCAATAGCTACAGTAAACAAACAAAAAGCAASAACAAAATAAAACCCTATCATATTTGTATCCAAAAAGGTGAGAATGTCTGTAATGAGTTCTATAAAACATTCATGAGAAAACTGAAAATGACACCAAAAAAAAAAAAGGGAAATACATCTTGTGTTCACCAATTGGATGAATCAGTATTGATAAAAGCACTCTACTACCCAAAGTGATCCATTGATCCAGTGCAATCCTTGTCACAGGCTGAATGGCGATCATCTTGAGCAAAAAGAACAAAACAGGATCATACTATYTGACTTCAAAATACACTTCAAAACTGCAGTAATCAATGATGACAATATATATTCTCAAAATTGTTTTGCTTGAGTTATTTAAAAGACTTGATCAGGCATATCTTTAAGGGGATTGGTTTCAAATGAACACACTCAATCACTTCCAATTTTTTGTATATTTCTTGGATTTAGTGTTCATTTTATTTTCTATTTAATTTTTTTTTCTTCAAATGTTACTTGTATTTTTCTTCATGAATCTCTATTGGGTAATGATAATAATTTAGCATAATGAATGAAATCATTAAATGGTTTAAGGATATAAACTTCCTATAATTATACTAGAAATGTTTTCAGATAATTTTTGAAATTATTGCTGTTGTAATTGCACCAAAACTGTTTTGTTGGTGTGAGTCTGTCATTCCTATGCTTTACCTGGTTGAATATGAATTTGAATTACTTCACTTTTTTGTAAAACATAAGTTTTTTAATTTGAGATAATTCTTTCTTTTACTCTTTCCCTTATTTCCTCTCTCTGGCTGCCCTCCTAAATGACTAAGACCAAGGCATAATAATACTAGTATATATTTTGTAAATAATAATATTAATAATGATAGCATATAATAATGTGTCATAAAAACAAGCTAACATTTTAAGCAAAAAAACTTGACTTGTTAGTTTTTAACTATATGCTTTCTAAGTACCTAAGTCTTTACCTATGTTTAAATATTTTTTCAAAATAAGTTGAGTGTAAAATACTATCAGTAAAAGAAGTGCAAAGGAAATAAATGAAAAATGACTTTTTCCCAAAGAGTTATTTAGTGCATAATATTATTGACATAGACATAAAACTCTGGATAGCACATTTGAAACCTTTAATAGGATATTTTATGATAGATAAAGCTGGTGATTGAATTATCTTCCTATAAGGAAAATATGTATAATAAAAAACCTTCTTCAATATAAATCATTTTCCCCATTTATTGCATTTTATASCTTCTAGACTATTTATCAATATAGTAATTCTTCTTGCTGCTATTTTGGATAATGATATCCAAACTCTATCACTGTTTAAATGTCTAAAATAAGCTCCACAATTTAAAGAATCAATCTTGAAAAAGATCTCACTCCTGGGACATATTGATTTCTAGCTATGAAGTATATTTTATGACTGTTTTTGTAATATATTTCATTATAATTCAATATGCAACAAATATTGAAATAGAAGTGTATCTGTGTGCTGAAGACAGAAATACAACAAACAATGAATGAAGAGGAAAAAAAAAGATGCCTATAAAATTGTTGGTCTTTGGAGCATGAGGAAGTGTTCACTTAAAGTGCTGGATCCAAATTCTGGATCAGCTTAAAGATAGAGAACTATAAAAGATGGAGACTAAAATTTTCGCTAAAGTTTTTATCAAAATATTTATAAAGTAGTTTTAAGTGTGCCTGAACCTTACCTCTGGAACTATACAGACTTACTCATCCAGTTCCCACCTAGTCACAMTAGCACTGAAAACCTGTGGGTGCCTCTGGTATTCTTGCCTCCCTCAATTCTAAGGCAGTGAGGAGAAGGCTGAAGTACAGGTTCTCTCCTGACCAGGTCATCCTGTCTAGCACAAGAAAAGCAAGGGGAAGKTTCCTCTCATCAAGCCGCATTCCTACACTGAGTCTCTTTGATAATGCACACAACTTTTTGGGCAGAGTCAGAAAAATAGTGACCATGAGGACCATTTGGGTAAAATACCTTCCCATTTAGAGTATTAGACATAACACTTTTTTTCTAATAATATCTTTCAAAATTGGGTCAAAATTAATTCTAGTACCAAACAGATAAATTTTAAATTTGTTAGTTTAAAACAACTTTAAATAATAAATTTTGGCTTACCCTAGAGTAAATCCAAATTCACCACCGTTTTTGAAGGCACAGATTTTAAGAGCCAAATTAAATATTTAGCTTAGTTGACTTGTTTTCCTATGAGAGTCCATATGAATTTTTTCCTAAATGTGTTGCTTATGACAATGTATATTTTGGTTAC